GAGTTCCTTGGGCTAGGCCTGACATCAATCTTGCCAATGTTTTTCTCCCTGAGTCTGGCCTTCATAATTCCATTCCATCACAACATCCTTCCTAATGTCTCCTAGTTTTACTAGTCTGTGATATACAGTATTTTTCACATAAAACTGCTTGTTCTGAACACAAATCTTTGCCTTCTTATTAATCTACCTAGATGTTTTCAATTAATGCAGACTTTTGTAGCAAGATTACAGTATATTCGATGAGAAGCTGGGTGGCCTAGCAATTTTTCCACTGGGATATAGAAATACAGTGTTGAAGTCATCAGCCAAGACAGCCTAACAACCAGGCAAGTTCTGTTGAGTTATCTCGAGTAAATATGCACCGGGCCATGGGATAAGCCAATTTATGACCATGTGTACTGGCTTCATGGTACATCCATGTGTACTGATGTATCGAAATTCATGCTCCTTCTCCAAATTCTACAGAGAAGCAATAGCTTAAGTGGTAGAGGGTACATTTTGCATGCAGAAAAGTTCTAAATTGAATCCATGATAGCTCTAGATAAAATTTAGAAAGAATGCCACATGAATTCTAGATAATTGTCCACCAGTCAGTGTTGACAAGTGCCTCTGCTTGTGAGTTGACTCGTGAAAACACAGCTGCTGCGGTTTTTTGGTAGCTTCTGAAAAGGCAGGCCCATCTTCCGGTTGGCCTTCCCTGAATCAACTGGCAGAGTCCTGAACACTTTTAAAACACATATATTAGAAATATATCTGCAGAGCAAGTAACCTTCAGTAGCTCAAAAGCTATCTTTCGGAGGACAATGCTGGATTTTTATCTTTTTCCATATTTTTTAACATTTGTCACAACCAAACCAAGCACACAACAAATAATCTATGTAACATTAAAAAAAACAGTGGGATATGTGAGATGACTCCTTTTGTACTAGAACAGCAAGGTATTGCTTCTGAAAACAAAAACAGTAGTGCACTTATCAAGAGTACAGCAGTGAATGTCCCTTTTCTTCAAATGAGAAAAATGATCTGTATGTCCGAGCCTCTGTGACCTTGTGTGGCTGGGAATTGGCAGCTTGACAATTATTTATTAGCATTACTGACAGATTGAAGCTGTGTTGAACATAGTTATTTTCATGATAGTTATATGTGGGATGCACTATTCTTCCTGTAGGACTTCCATAATAGCACTGCCCTTGCATAAGAAGGAACGATTGGCACCCTTGGTAGAGTTTTTCAGATTTGTCGAAAATTCTGGAGAAGAGGGTCTAAAAAGTAAGGAGAGTCCCATGCATTGCAAGAGAAATGGAGACATAGGCCAGGAGGGAGAACAGAATGGCATGTTCTAGAGCAGCGTTTCTTAAACTTTTTGCTCTCAGGGCCCACTTTTAAAAATTATGGAGGACCCCAAAAGAGCTTTTATTTGTATAATTTCATGGACCCCTGAGAGGGTCTTGGGGGATCCCCAGGAGTCCTAGGACTACACTTTAAGAAACGCTGTTCTAGAGTCATTGCTGGCTAAAACAATAAGCACAAGTAGAGGTCATGATAATGCAACTTTTTATTGTAGATCCTTAAAGGAAAGTAAATATGCTACCAACTTGTTTTCCATTCTGCTCATCTGCGAGGCATTGGGAGAAAAATAAACTTTTTTCCAGATTGCAAATATTTCTCTGTCTGATTGCCTAGAGGTGAACCTTGATTGCCTCAGGTAATCAGGCTGGTGGTTATTAACAGGCCTGATTTAAATGAATTCCCTTTTCCTTTGTATGTTAACTAAAAGATCGCCGGTATAATTCTTTCATTTGTGATATAAAATAAAGACAAAATATGCTGTGGCTCTTCAGTATAGATATTCATCATTATAATATTTTTGCCCACTACATAAGAGAGCTGTGTCTATAGTAAATGAGAGCCAAAAAAGTGCACGGCACTTTGAAAAACCTATTTGTTAACTTTTCTGATTTGTGTAAACTATGAAGATTACTGAAAAAAGAATTTCATTAGTTAGAGTTGGCAGGAGTGAGATTCCCGCTGTTAGCAGTTATTTTTGAACAAGGGATTTCTTTCATCCTACCTGTTCCTCCTCCTCAATCCTGTTGTTAAGTCAAAAGATTGCATTTGTGTCACCAGTCATTTTCAGAATAATATATATGATACAATTGAAAGAACACTAAGAACTTTATGACATTAGTACAAGGGTCACCAAAGTAGCATGGATAAGGATTTCTGTTCAATATTAGAAGTGTGTGAATTTGTACTCTTGCATTTTTAGGAGAAAGAGGTAGATTTGAAGGTGCAGCTAGTTTTTGCATATTGTTTTATGCCTGTTTGGTATGATTCTTTCCTGGATCTGCAGTTTAGTACCACTCTTACACAAATCATAGGAATAGGGACTTTCTTACATTAGCTACTTGCCTCAATATTATCATGCAGCCAGAAATACTTAATTATATGTCATATTTGGCCTATGGAACACTTCTTTTCTCTGCTTTTGGATGAATGCTTAGAAGATGAATCAAATCAGTTACCAAAATATGGAGAGAGAGTGTTGCCCTTTTTTTGCTCCAGGGTAGGCCTATTTCAAACCAAATGTGCACATTAAAGCCCAGACCAGTGTTTCTCAAAGCATGCTCCGAGGACTCCTAGGGGAGTCCTTTGTGGCTTTCATGGGTCTACAAAGGCAAAATTATTTGCCAGCCATGTTGAAAAATAATACAATACAGGTAGTCCTTGACTTATGACCACATTTGGGACCAGAACGTTCATCGCTAAGCAATGCAGTTAAGTGAGTTGTGCCCGATTTTACAACCTTTTTTGCTGCCGTCATTAAGCAAATCCAGCTTCCCCCATTAACTTTACTTGTTGGAAGCCCCCTGGAAAGGTGCAAATGGCGATCACGTGCCCCTGGGTCGCTGCAACTATTGTAAATGCATGCCAGTTGCCAAGCACTCGAATTTTGATCATGTGATCGCAGGGACGCTGCAACGGTCGTTAAACAAATGGTTGTAAGTCAAGGACTACCTGTATTAAAATCCCATCAAACAATTGTGAGAAGTGGTAGTGGCAGCAAATGTGTCAGATTTAATTTTTTATACTGTAAATATCAATAAATATAACCCATACAAACAAAAGCTCTTTTGGGGTCCTCCATAATT